GTCAAGTATCGCACGCCTTCGAACGTCGCCATGGACCCGGCAAATGCCATGATGCCGATGATGGGGTACGTGGCAGGGTCCGAGAACCACGTCTTGTAGACGGTGCGGGCAGCGCGAGTGGCGGAGGACATGGTGTCGGTGCTGTGCGTGGAAAATTGGCAAGTGAATGAGCGGTAACGACGTCGTCGGTGCTCGTATTACCAATCAAGCACCCCTGGTTGATGCGGCTTCTGGAGACCACCAAGGAAGTTCGCGGCTACAAAAATGCACCACGCCGTTTACATAGAGGCGCAAAGGTTGAGAAAAAGACATGCAATTACCTCGTTCTGATTGGCTCGTTTCATTGCTGTGAAGGGAAACGCAGCCAATCATATCGACTATTGTAGAATACACCCAATCAAATGGCGCTGGCAAGCGTACAAATGAAGTCACAGAGTCACATAAATATTGTTGGCTATATTCCGATAATATATCCATGATATCCTGGCAAAAATCATGCCAAGTCTTGCAGCGAACAGTACGAGCTCTGGACTTGGCGGCTTCAGGGCAATTCACGTTCCAAACCTATCGTTCGACCACATATGCCGTCTTAAGAAAATCTCGAAGTGGTGCATATCCATCATCGTGTGTTATTGCCGCATGGTGTCCATGAAAGTAGAATTTATTCGGTGTTTTGAGTTTACACTGTTAAGCAACAAAAGCTCAAGATTATTCATTGTGTGACATATTTATACATTTGCGTCATACAAATGTTCAGTATAAATGCAAATATTTCGACAAGCCGTTGGCGAGGCGTTGCTGCGTGCACAAGTGCGGGATCATTTAATCCGAGCCATCGAGACATTAATTTTGTCGTGGAGACGAGAATATGGGCGCCGCGCGGTCGGCGGCAAGAGACAACGTGTAAACGTTGCATTGTATGTCGATGGGGGCAATGGCACCTAACGCAGCCACAAAGGAGCTGCCGGCCGAGTCGCCATGTCCATCCTCCTTCACAAGCAAATAGATGACGGCTTCTGTTTCGAGCACGCACGAGAACTCTCGAGACGGGTTCGTTTTATGAACTTCCCAGAGCATGTCCATACCTGACTCAGTCTTCGTTTCCAAGCATGGCCGCACAACATCAGCCGACCAGCCACTTTCAATCGACCCATGCGCCAGCCAAGCAGCAGCAGGTCAACATCACGTGTGATCCCACCACCATCACGATGGTTGTCTGCCCCGGCTGCCTCAAGGTTGGGATTTGGTCATACGACTGTACACAAGTCAAGCCAGCCATGCGAAAACGCAGCAGACCACGTGCCTTGACACCTTTTCCGACGCGACAGCTGCCTGAAGGAAGCGTGTGTGAAGCAAGCCAACTCGCCATCAAACGCCAACGGACACAATTGATGTGGTCGCCAAACACCGAAACCTCTGAATCGGAGCTGTCCTCGGAGAGCAGCACCAGCGAGAGTGATGCAGATGATGACGAGACAGCTCTGGGCGATCCAAGCGGCGACACTGCGAGCAGCAAGCCTCCCGTGTCGCGGTCTTCAGCGTGAACAAATGAATAAACATTGTTCCTTGTTCGTGGATGAGTGGATGTGCTTGTTTGAAACGCAGCGAGTTTGCACTGCCCCCCGACCGAAGTGTCGATTGAATTGCATCGAGAGATCTGCGACGGATGGACTGGTTGTTCCAACATTGCAAGGATCGAACTCGATGGTGATGCTCGAGTTGGTCGAGTCATGGCTGGCCCAACCACAACCGCGGGACGTGCTGGCTCATGCACAAGGCGCCAAGTCCACTGTCGTTCGCACCATGATACATCGTGGTTAACATGCGGCGCACCCGAGTTGAGCGTCGATTTTGTCGGCCAAGACGTCGCTCAGGCCCCTGGTGCCGAAAGATCCGACTACTGCGCCGCATGCCAGCCCAACGAAGGGTGCAATGCGTACAGGTGGTTCAGCGGCTTATGCTACTTGAAGGGCCAACGTACTGGAAACACCTCGATTATGGGAGGTGGTTCGGCCCGCACGGACAAGTGCAGCGCGCTCGAAGCGGACGTTGACTACGTCAACAACGACTTGTCGAGCGTGTTGCGGACGTGGCGGACTGCTGTGCTCTTTGCCGACAAACGAGTGGTTACCGCGCGTTGAGCTGGATGAACGGCGAGGCCTACTTGAAGAGCGGTAAGGAATCGCCAGTGTTGATGGCTGGCGTGAAATCGGCAACCACAAACGAAGTAGTTTAATGCACGCAATGGCTAGTAGAAGTCCTTTCAGCAGTGCTTGTCTGGATTTCATTCTTGCTTCGTGCCTTGGACACGTCGTCTCGACGGATGAAGGTAGGCAGCTTGATCGAGGTGCTTTGTGCGGCAATCTGCGTGTCGATGCACCGTCACGGGGGGTTGTTGAACAAAATCTCGGCATCGCGTCCGCGCTCCCAAACGTAGGCTAGTTACGTCAGTCTAGTCCGCCAAGGCGGTCGGCTGACACTGATACACGTAGTCCACACTGGTCTGTCGAATCACTGCGCCAACGAGATACAGTCTGGAAAACAAAACTATAGCTGCACCTACATTTTCATCATGATGAGGCACACGACGTCGACTAAGGTGGTCAAACCCAATCCAATGTCGACAAATCATGTCGATGACAAGACCTTGGAACGCAATCAAAACAGTACACTAGAATTCAAGTGCCTATGTGTCATTTCATTGGAACACAACATTTCTAGCCGCACTAACTAGATTTAGGCTTATACGAGTCAATTACGGCGCCACGTTTCAAGAAAAAACAATTACTTGTGCCATTCGAGTTGGCATACTGTCGATCAATGGCCAATATGCATAGCCAATCGTCAGATTTGGCGCGGACACTGTTGTGCGGATATACATTTGCACCACCCAAATTTGGAGTCGTGTCGACTGTCGTGGTGGGTTATCGAGCACTGCATGCAACTACAGTGAACGGGGAAAAAACTCGCAAGCGTTGTACTCGCGAGTATTTTGAAGTTTGTATGTATCGAGTACACCTACGGTAGGTGAGTTAAAAAATATCATGGATGATGGTACCCATCGAATTCTGACTTGAGGCCACTGATTGGCCAAGACAATTCAGAAAATATGCAATTTTTATTCTTGACCAGGGCAAGGA